ACCTTTTGGCCAATCCCCCTTGCATGATGGCCGGTAAATAGGACTAGGTGGCTCCTCCAACATGTTTTCCAACCAAATATCAAGACCATCGGCACCCTCATCCTCCGACTCGCCTGGGTTGATGACCACTTCCGTATCAATGGGCTCAAGCGCACACGAGAGACGCCGCACGCGCGGAAGCTCCGATTTATCATGAGCGTTGCGCAATCAGCCGAGCGTTCGAGAAGGTAACTTCGGTTTACCTTTGATTGATCATGTTAAAGTCATGTTAGCTCAGTTTTGCATAAGTTATGTTCGCGATATGGCCATAGGTTGCGTTCGGCCGTGCGTATCTCATGTCATGTCACGTCATGTTCATGTTTGATTTGATTTCTCTCGAGCAACTTTTATATGATCAGCCAGTATACGCTATTTTATGTGCAATCAAGTCAAGTTAGTCGAGGGATTTTCATGATTTGTCGAGTAATCAGCCGAATGGCGTGGTCGCGCACGTAGCGCGTACCACGGGCCGTGCATGTTTAACGATTATTTTAAATAATAGTCCTTCGAGCATTTCATGTTTATTTGTCCAGTATATATTATTTTCATGTTAGTGGTGTATTAGTTGCCGAGAGAATATCATGTTCGGTCGAGAAGCGGCTTAACGCCGTAGGCGGCGCACGGTGCGCACGCCACAGCCATTTCTAGCATGTTATGCAAAATTCATGATTTTGAGTATTTTCAGCTAAATTAGATCATGTCAAGTCAGTTCATGTTATTTCATGTTGAGTTGGTTGAGTGAAGTCGCCGGACGGCCGGCAAAGGCTGGTCGTGGCCGCACTGCCCGCACACAGAGGCAACAGCACGCCGGCAGTCAAGCACGCTACGCGGGTGACATGCTGATACGCCCAGTTGGGGCAGCGCACGTGTTCCCCTGTTCGCAGTCAGCCAGTGCAGACAGGCAGTGCGCGTACATGCCCGCGTGATGAAGGATCGGGTGTTGCGTTCCCTCGACTTGTCTCGATCACGGCTTCGCCACGGCCTTGCTCTCGACGATAGGTGTGATCGACTCGGTTATTAGCCTAACTCTCTCACGATACTTGAGTTCACTCGGGTATTAGCCTCGCTACACTCTCGAAATAGATCGGGTCTTAGCCTCTCTAAATCGTTGGACTGGCTCGGGTCTTAGCCTCACCAATTCGATTGCATGATCGAATCTCACGACTCTAATACACGGTTTCGAACAAACATTCTTTTCTATTTCATCATTCTTGGACATCTAAAAACAATGAGGGATGCTCCCTATTTATAGATCCTAATTACTACTAATTCTAATCTACCTAGGAAACATATTAAAGCAATAAAATATTAACTTCCTAAACATTTTAGATATTATTGTGCAAGAAGGAAATTAAATATATCAAAGTCCTAAATTGACTAGATCTTGATCTTGCTTGGCTTGCACTCCAAACAATTCCAACTCATGCCCCCATGTAATTTGGCCGCCTAACGCACGCACGCCGCCTCACGGCTTTCCTAATTTTGATCGCGCACGGCTTCGGTCATGCGCGCCCCGCACCCGTTGTCCATCTCGCGCCCTTCACCCGTGTCGCATGCTTCC